ATCACAGCTTCTGTTCCTGCACGTCGTGGATGGCAGCGCAGCCACGAGCGCAACCTCGCGGAGGGATGAATGGATGGATGCTAACGGCAGTACCCTATATATCGGGCGGTAGCTTGCGCCCTCAAGCCTAGCCACAGCTATTGTTGATTTAATGGCCATGCGGCTTCTGACTTTCTTCCCATTTCCATTGTTTTGGAAGCGTTCATATTTTTACTTTGGTTTAAACTGGGTTTCATTTTTTTATTCTTGTATTCTTTAAACCACGTGTTTCTCTTTTGTAAGGAACGCTTGGCAACATTGTACGACAAGCAGGTTGGGGTCAGTCAGAGTTTGCGAGACGCTGATTCTGCGATCAGAACCTGCCCTTTCTTTCGTGTGTCGTGTCTTCTTGCTCATGTTTCTCTGTTCGTGTGAATAGTGAACGTTCATACGCTCGACAGGACGGGTGTGTGCAGCTCGTCACCCGATCCGCCGCTCGACTGCGATCCTTCGGCCGGTTCAGTGGCATACGTGTTGGCGTCCAAGAACATTCGCTGCTTCGGTCCTACTTGACAGTGAGAACTTATTTTTGACGACCTGTGTGTGCTCGGTGGCTGAATGATTCTGATTGGTCTGCCCTGGTTCGTGGCTGCAACGACTGTTGATGTGCGTCGTTTATCTAGCTCTAGGACTAATGAAGCAAAAAATGTTTTGGCATTCTACGAGTCTTTTTGATGTTCCTTATACCTCCCCCAGAAACCCGAGCATTCGTCATTGGAGTACACAAATTAAGATGTGAGTAGCATGCGGAATTACTTTTGCATGTATTTCTATCGCGCACGCACGAAAGGAGTGCAGCTGCCTTCGTACTCACCCTGAATTGCAGCATTCGTTTTGTCGCGGGTGACGACAACAAGGCAATCTCTCGCCGACAGCGAGCGCATTCGCTTTAATTCCCGATAAACGTAAACGTCAAAAAAGCTGGCTTGCGGCTGCTATGCGGGAAAGCGAAGACATGGATGCTAAGAACCGGTAGGGGAGGTTGTTTTATAGACAGTCGAATATAATTGCCATGCTTACCTTAGTTTTGTACTAGGTGATGGCCGCCTTGAATAGTTTGAAAAATTCTATTGGTGCGAAAAGAGCAGTTTATTTGCGACATTATTCACTGCCGCGGTGATACACGACAAGATTGCGCACTCAAATAGTCAGCATAAAGGACTGATGGGCAGTCAAGGATGTTAGCGATCCGCGTGATTAGATTAATCGTGTGACGTGTGTTTGTGGTATTTGTATGGGAGCAGTGTTTAAAGCATTGTATGTGTTGTGTGCTTACTCTAACTACGTCTAGGCCTAACTATAGCTCGAACTGTAATTCTCACTAACTGCACTGACTCCTCTAAACACTTTGTTTAAGGCTAGTGGTTTAGCACCACTAGCGCTAAACAAAAAACGTTCCACATAGCAACTCAATTGCACGGCGATTTGCGACACATTGTTCCGAATTCTTTCATACAATTCATATTGTCAGTAGCACCAATGCAAAAGGTCCAGATATATTGTTTTATTCAAAATTAGATTGCTGGTTCCATGATGGTTAAAACGTCAGTTGTACTACACATTGGTACACCCTCATCTCCATGACTGTCTACTAGTTTGGCGATAAATGACTAAAAGAAATACTGATAGGTTTGTTTTTAGATTTGTTTTTAGAAAATGAAAGCAGTAACGTCTATAGAAATGATTGAGCATACTGAGCACAAAGCCTGTTCTTTAAATGCGCTACCATTTGAACTCGCATTGTGACAAAAACACGGCGGTGTTTTTCGTTTGTCAGCGCCGGAGGGAGGAGGAAGAGGTGAATGGGGGTGAGGCGTCCGACGCTGCCATTGGTCTGTAGCGCTGACGCCAGCACGCTTACACCTCTCCATCTCTTCTTGGTGCTGACAAACTAACAGACACCACCGGCGCTTTCGTCAAAACGAGCCCCATCGTTTTTTCAAAGGAGTGTCGCACATCTGGCGCGGAGCCAGAGAAGCGCGGGCGCCGCGGCACGGTGGAATGCGGGCGTGCTCAGTTGCCGCTCTGCAGTCGCCGGTTGTTCTGCGCTCTGGGTCTCCGTTGTAGCGTTGCTTGGGCTGCGATGTGCGTGTGTCGTTAAAACGATGGATGCGGTCCCCTCCACTAGTGATATGGATGCGGTTCCTTCCACGAGTGGTATGGCTGACCGTATCCGTTGACGTTGACGTACCCCGACACTGTGTACATAAAAGGAGTGAAAAAATTACAGGAACGCCCATTGGTGGATTCGAAGGGAATGCGTTAGCATGACCCTTGAGAAACGCCACACATGTCCCCCTTCGGGAAACGCGAATACTGACCCCGTAACGAGGATAAAAACGGCGACAAGCGAGAGGAAGCAAAAGCAAAGCCATAAGAGAAGAGTGAGGGGATTAGCGTTAGTCATTCCCAGAGGGGGGAAGGTGTATGGTATTTCCCATTTCCCTAGAAATCTACCAATGGATCTTCTTGCAATTTTTTAAACGAAGTTTTCTAACCATATTTCATCTGTTCCTTCTTAAACTTGCAATGCATATGTATATCGAAATAATTCGTGACCAGTCTCGTTTTACGGACGCACTTCTTTCTAGTAATACAACACACAATCTTCGACAAGGCTCATGTAGAATACCTTGGTTTAAAACGAATTATGGACATCCCCTATTCGCATACTTAATACCGAATTTCTGAAGCAAACATCTAGCAGTTGTGGAAATTACTTCGGCATGTGCTTCAAATCATAGCTTAAAATAGTATAAAACAGTACCTTCTGTACTGTCACGTTGAGTGAATACTTTCAGGTAGTGTTCTCATTGGTCGTGAGTTGTATTACCTGGCCTATTTTGCGTCGCCAAAGTGTTAAGCAAGCACTGATGATTGTCTAAGCTCTGTACAAAATATGCTGTTCTGATCGTTGTTGGTGTATCTCGTTGTACTTCTTTAATATATATTGTTTTTGTTTTCGCCTGAAAAGCAGTGTAATCGGGCGATAGGGCCACGTCGGGCAAAATCGAATTGCTTCGTGCACTTGACAAATTGGTTGTGGGTACGTTTGCACAACGTTGAAACTGGCCTACCTTCAACAAGCGAATTGTCCTCTCAGCTATGGATGAACAATTTCGCCAGTGCAGTACAACCACTAGCCTAAGGTCTTTAACGTGCACCGTGCGGTAGTGATACAGTACCGCACGCCGTTACAATGCTCATCCAGATCGAGACGGGTAGGGGTGAAGATTGAGCCCAGGTTCCTGGGTTCTGCAGTGCGAGCTTTCGCTCCATGTACTCCGGGACGGCGTGCGCAAGGCCAATCCGCCACCGATACCCGTCTTTTTGCCGCGTTACCCTTGCCCCACTATGTAAATAAAAAATAATTAAAATCAAAAGTTCAGATGGTCTGAGTAGAGGCTTGAAATAGCTACGCTTCTAAGTAACGACATGTCAGCCATCAAGGCGTTTCAAATCATTGCTGCCAGTTATCTCAAACTTTATATGAACCACACCAAGAATGTTTTTTTTTTCTACAAAATTGTGACAGCACGGTAAAGCAAATTGCTATTGCCTGAGTTTTCCGGCACAGTAACTCAAGCGCAGGTAGTCGTACTTTTAATAATTGTAGCCACCACCCATTGCGGCCGCTCTGTATTACGGGCCGAAATAGCAGTTGACCCTAGAAACTAGAAATATGAATCGCCGATACTCCAAAAGTAGTTAATTTGCTGGCTCTAAACCAGACAAGACCTTGGGTGGTTTATACTAAAATGCAAGTGTTAATCAGCTCATACTGCAACAGCGGAGCAAGAACTAACTTAAGAAACATAAAAAAATAGAGATAACTATAAGCAAGCAAAAGTAGAATAACGACAACACGGCGATATATACAGAAGGATACACAGGCTTGTGTACGATTGTTCTTGTTACTTACGTTTTTCAATTGTTCATAGGCATGTTACACCACGGGCTGTTTTAGCCCGTGGTCAATACCTGGAACTCTGGTGTTTGGGTGAACATGTGAACTGGTTTATTCTTGTCACTAGATATCTGTCGTTCTGAGTTGCAAATGTGGCCATGTCGAGTTCAAGCAAAACATTTCATTCCGTACGAACAATTTTGATGGACACATAATTTAAACCTCGTTTAGATATGACTCAATAAAAACAAATATTCGTATTCTCGACTCAAACAGCATGAGTTCCATCTCCGTTCCCCTGCTTTATAATTTCGACAACCGTCCGCGGAATGTTTCGAAGTTAATTTCGACAGGCACAAGCGTCGATATCTAAGATTCAGGTTTTTGATGATGGGTAACATTTAGTCTTCTGAATTTGCAAATAAATTATCATACAAAAAATAGAAATGTGTATACAAAATAATATAAATTATGCGATAAGAGGGCTCAACAAAAGTATCAAATCATCTCTCTCGTTTATATATGTTTTCTTTTCTGAGCATAAAAATCAGGGATATATGAGGAAAAACATGTAGGCCCTTAGGATTGTAAAGGTTACTTTCAAGGTCCCCTGTCACTCCACATGATTGTCAATCAAAAGCAGGTTAGAGACAAGACAATCTAAAACTTGAGATTTTTGACAGCTTTGCTTACTTTCACTTTAAGTCAGAGGACAATGAAAGCTAGAAGACGCAGGAGCCCGAGTGCCAAACTGAACTTCTGAGGACAAGGTGCCTATGATGCGCATGATCGGTTTAGCAGGTGGTGTTATACCCACTGAAAGACGACGGAGCGAGTGACGTTGCATTTCCGGCTCTGCTTGAGGGTCGTCATTGGTTGCTACCTTTCGTTACGTTCGGATTCAGTGACAGAAAATAAAACCTGCAAACAACCATTTCATCCTTGACTTTGACTCTTTCATATTGTTTACTGACAACTGCGCTCCAGACATTCCAACGACGTATAAAATCGAAGAGGGAAAACGTGACTTCTGTAAGCTCTACGAAGACGAACCCAAGCCAATATGAAGATTCCAGCATCCACTGCTCTTGCTGTAATGGCAGGTAATTTGCTTTCGTGAATGCAAAACACTGTTTCAGCAAGCAGACCATTTTTATGTTAGAAACATTTCGTATGTTTTTAACATAGAACCGTTTTCTTACGGATTTAGAATTACCATTCTGCATCACAAAAATGTTAAGTTCTGGGTAATGTGGGTTGAAACTACTGAGTGACAAGCGAGAAGGAGATTTGGACGCGTCCCGAAACCAGAGCTGGAACTAGCGAAAGAAAAATTATGTCCACGAAACACTGGTGCTAGGATGCCTAAGATTGTTTCGTTCCTGGGGTTCAAGATGCACTTTGATGCACCGTTCCCCCACGTTAATTCTACCACCTCATCTGGCTTTTCACTGCAGCTTGATAATATCTGAACAGACAATATAGCACAAGGCTAAAGTATTCTATTCTTTTTGCATGATCAATAGGACTTACATAGCACCTGAGCCTCCCATTGATACGCGGGCTTTTTCTCGCGGCAATTCAAATTTTTGTGTCGGGGTGGAGCCACATGTTGTTTTTGTATTTAGGGGATAGGTCGTTCCGTCTTTTTAGCAGTATTTCTCCAAAGGTAGAAATTAACCGAATGAAAGTCAGACGTAAACAAATAAAAATAGACAAGAAATACCTAGATGCGTAGGAATTGCGGCTTCAAAGAAGCGTGGACACCAGTGGCGAGATGTTTGAGGTAGAAATTCTAACAAAACTTAAAACAAAGCGTTTGGAATCTCTATCGTTAGCATTTTTCATCCAGATTATCTTGACCAGATCTCGTAAATACTGCGTTTGTAACTTTTTACAGTTCTTTTTTCTTCATCATGGCTGTAAATATTGGTCTAATGACGGGAGAATGACAAAATGCCTTCATAAAAAACAGATTGCTTGGTTGTTGAGTTTCTTTCATTTATATGCCCTATTTAAAAATCCACCAGCCCTGGCCTGGTGTGTTTCTGACTTTTTCACCAGAGCGGAAATTCAAACACGGATCTTGGAGTGTTCTGGTGTCTTTGCGTGATCTAGTGTCTTGGCGTGTTCTGGTGTATTAACGTGTTCTAGTGTCTTGGCGTGTTCAGGTGTCTTAGCAAAGCTTCATATTGATGACCACGCGAAAGGTTGATTGGTATGTCTGTCCTATAAGACTTTTTCATGGGAGCAGTTTACAATACGTCCCGTTATAACAAGGTCAGGGTTTTGCCCATAACTATAAGACATGCCCGTGTGTTTCCTTTTTCATAATCCACTCCTGAAGGAATCACTGAAATATATAAGGGGACGAGGTAAAAAAACATTTCGACTTAAATCTTTTACCTGTGATGGTACGCGAAGAATCACAGAAGTATGCGAATGGTCATGCTCGTTGTCTAGTAAAATCATACACAGTTTTAGTAAAAAAAAATAAACCTCGCCATTGGCCAACCTCTCTGTGTAGTATCTAGTGTTCTGCGTACCCAGAAATCTGCGAAGACTTAGATGCGCGGGATTTGATTTGGAGAAACCTTTCCTCTTTTCATCTGGAGTAATAATTAAATGTAAATAGATAATTTATTTGTAGTTAAAACAATCTTGATTTTTGTAATATTATCTCATGTATTCCCAAATGCTCAGGGTTCCATTTTTTCTATGTTGATCAAGACAGGCTTAAATGTTGCAAACACGCAATAAATAGGGCACTTTAGCTCAACTCATATTCTTCAATAAATCTATTGAAACGTTTTTACATTCCTTGCAGTCTTTCTGCCGATAGTAACCTGTGCTCCAGCAGGAGACGCCGAGGAGGAAGACGACCGATCTTGCGCAAAAAGGGACCAAGAGGCCAAAGAAGTGGGAGTAGGTCGATTTATATAAAACATTCGCAGCGACCTCTATTGTAGGCGTCCTAGAATACCTGAAATGCAGTATCCATACCCTATCTCACATGCTGGGCCTAGCGTCCGCAAAGGTACCGGGGCATGAACGTAGCCCAAGCAGTTGGAATGGAGGGGAAGGAGGAACTACACTTTTACCCTTACCGTCCTTCCTGCGATCTCACCCCTTAACCTCCCCCCCCCCCCTCTTCGCTTTCCACCTCTTTCAATTTAAAAGCGCACGCCACTCAAAATTCGTACAAACGGCTTTCCTCTCCCTCCCGAACGTGGCTTCGTCAAAGCTGCTATTTGCGCCTCCAGCTGGTTGCTCGCCCTCCCGCGGCAGAAAGGGGAAGCGCTCTAGTGAGGGTTCCCGGTTCTCCTGCTCAGCGGGCACGGCGAAACTGCTCGCTATCTAGGCTTGCGAAATGTTATATCCGAATGCAAACAACACTATTCACGGTCCCAATGTAGTGCTGCAGCCGAAATTCAATTGTACCTTAGTAGAGAGTTTTAGTATTGCGTATAGAAGCAAACGCAAGTACTGTGTGTTTGCGTTAGAGTTGCGTAATCCACGCTGCGCGTGTGCGTCGTCGCCATGTTCCAATCCAAGACAGCAATTTCGGGCTCCACGCACGCGCTGTGTCAAACACGCAACGCTAACGCAAATGCACTGTACTTGCGTTCACTCGTATACGGAATACTAAAACTCACTACCGTTTCACCGTTTTCCAACGCCCATGGAACGTGCTGCAGGGAGCAGACGTGCAAGCGGGTAGGCGTCCTTCTAACTGGAGAGGCATGACGTTGGCAAGACAACGTCGCGAAAGAATTAAAAAAAATAAATGCGCCGGGAATTTATTTTTTTTGAGGGGGGGGGGGGAGGGTAGTTGGAAGTTTTCCGGATTGTCGAATTCGCGACTTTGGTAGTCCATATGGTTGCCCACAATTAAATGCTGCAATTGGCACCAGTGATGATAATTTGGACATTTTTAATTGCCATAATTGTTCGCCCGTTTCAAATAAGATAATAAGTAACAAATTATATTAGAGCTCGAAAAACTATGTATTCAAATATCTCCTCTGTGTTATTGTTATTAATACGAATTGTGGCAATGTAGACCCTAAATAAATGCCACAACCACAAAAAATAGCCATTTCACCATAAAATACTTCTCGGTAAGGTCTCATTTCGCTTTATTTTGAGTATATTGAACATTTGAACGTCGTTATCAAGACCTATTGCCACTGGCGCAGCTGGTCAAGCATAGGCAGCACGCCCCTGGCCGAGTGGTTACCGTGCTTGGCTCCCATGCGAAGGGCTGAGGTTCGATGCCTGGCTTCGGGTACATCTTTTTGTTGTTTCAGTAAATTGCGCGTTCTGGCATATTCAAGGTCCCTGTTGTTTATTCGAGCTTAGAATGGTTCTACGCGCCAAACCTCCTACGCCGATTGTTTCAGGAGCCCACGTGTTTCCATAATGGGCTCGGCATGGCGAGCCTGAGTCCGTCTCGCCCCAGTGCTCGATCCTAATCTTTGAACGACATTAACCTTCTTCTATCTTGTTTTGGGCACGAGCTCGCCCCATTAAACGTTTAGTTTCTCCAGTTATTATGCGCTTCCTTATTTGTCATTTATGACATATTATAGACAAACAGCGAAACACTAGATGTAATATAAAGACATTTGCGTCAGGAGTTGCTTCTAATTAAAACACACGCACACTTCTGCTGTCTGACTCGGATTCCGTTGTTGGGTTTTTGTAGTGAGAAGAGTTTTTCGTTATTTATACGTTTTTTCAACATATTCTAAACTAGTCACCCGTGCAATATTTAGTAAAATATAGATTGTTTCTGTCAGTCTTATGGCTGGGAATTGAATCATTAAATGATCTGAATACCGCAAAACCCATTACAAATTCCGCAGTTCATTCTTTCACGTGACAATTATATGAGCGAGAAAAGAGAGCTAGAAAACGCATATATCAGCACAGATTTTTGTAAACAAATCAAATGTTATACGTTATCTCTAAGGTGTATGAAAGACTGTCTTTAAAGAAATACGAAACTCTCCAAATTATTTTGAATTCTTGAATCAGGCACGTAGGTCCTAAAAAATAAGGTTTTCGCAAACAACTTATTTAGCTTAATAATAACCCTATAAGACACACATTGAGCTATGAAATAATCCGATGCTCACACTTATACCAAGCAATTAAATCCAGAATAGAGATTAGTTTCGGTTTCGTTTTACAATAGAAACGTTCCTCCTGGCGGAAATATTTCGCTAAACACCGTCTTTGTTTTTATAATAAAGGGGGGACCTGCGCTCATAACACCCTAATTTGTGTCGCTCACTGAAGCCAGCACGCTAGAAAGACTCAGCAACTAGTATTGGTGCCTACAGCGAAATCAACGCCGCGTAGCGGCAACGCAAAAAAAGCTCGGGAGAGGAGATCGTTCCGACTTTATCGTCTGCTCTCGCTGCTTGGTTCTCGTAGACAGCACTGAAACAAACATCGTTTTCAGTAATTATTTTTATCCTTACGCCGTGTAATTCCTACACACTGTCTCGAAGAAGGATTCTACCGTCGAAAAATCGCTTTGCTTTTATAGGTAAGACCGAGTTTACCCTGCAGTGCAAAAAGGTATACAGGTCCGCGCGCTGAACGAAGAAAGAGCCTTTCGTCCGCTATTTTGCCTGACTAGCGCGGCCCCTATAGTTCGCTGGAGTCGCGAATACCGGCACGCACTTGCGACCCTCACTATAACCGCCATTTTGGAAAACGAGTGGCGCCGCCTATAGTATGCTGGAATTGCGAATTACGTAGGAGGCAATCGCAATTCGAGTAACTAGTGAGTCATAATACAGGGAACGATATGTTTTTATAAATTGTTGTCATTCCTACTAATATATAATTTATTTAACTAACTACGTATTGCCCTTAAGGACCTTGAACATTTAATAAATTATGATAATGATCATGATGATTATTCGATGGCCCATTAATATTGTATCTGAGTACGCAATGTAAGCGTCTCTACCGGCTACCGGACCCGGATCGCCTAGAGGCGTTGCCTTCTGAATGCTCATGGTTTCCTCTTCTCCCGTCGCCCCTCGAAATTGTACTCCTCCGCTCGGGGTTCGAAGGTCCAAACGACTTCGTGTACGAGAGGAACGTCGACGCCGCAATGGCTGTCGGCCGCGCAGCTACAGATTTGAATCGTTTAGAAGACACTAAAGTCTCCATTAGGGAGCAGGAAGAACCTACGAGTATATCTTTAACACGTTTTCCGGCAAACATGGCTGAAAAACTGAATAGGCGTATAGAACACGTTGTGTCAATTCCCGCATTAAATTTAGAGGTGAAACTGTATTGATCTAATGGTCACCTCACGTCAATTTGCTGAGTAAGTTTAGCGGGGTAATAAAATCTGTGTACACGGCAGGCGACAGCAATTTTCCCGCGAGATTTAGGTACAACTTTACTGGTGCATAGGCCACGTGACATCAGTTTCACCTTTAAATTTCGTGGGGATACTGCATTTCATGGTAAAAAGTCATGTATGTATAAGACATTTCTTGTCCAAGAAACACATATAATCAAAGAAGATAGTAAGATCATGCAATGACGGTATAAGAACATATAAGAACAATATGAGGCTTTATAAAACGTTATACGAAACGTCTTATAGGCTTCTTATAACATCGCATACACTCTAGTTTAGTTCTTATATGTTCTTATATTACGTTATTTGAGCATGCGCGCTTATTGGACCAAGACATTTCTTACACATATAACATTTTTCACTAGAGTTGGAGTGCAGGTCGCAGGACACCAATCTATCCCGATAAATTTGGCAGAGAATTTTGAATTGATGGTTAGGTCAAGTGAAGTGACTTACCATGCTCAATAAAGCGGGACAACTGAATTCACATTTACGTAACGTGAATTCAAATTTCGTTCAAATTCAAATTCAATCGACGCACCGTTGCCGCAGTGCGTTGGTGTAGATTTAGTCTTTCCACACGTGTCCGAACTTCGCTTGAACTCTGCACGTGCGGAGAACGAAACGGCACAAACCACCCGTGGCACCTCCGCATGCGTCTTGTGAACTAAAGTTGTGGCGGCTTCACGCATGCGGCGAACGCTTTTTGAAATTCGTCTATTGGCCTCAGTTTCCCCGCTGAATTGCCTCTCCGCACTGAATTGGTTCCAGCTTCCACACATGATGTCAGTTAAACTAACGTCAATTTTCCCCACTAAATTTAACTGAGAAATCCACGGACGGAGCGACAAACCTACGGACCGTCAAAATATTGAGAATAGGGTGTTCATTGAAGACAACGTCACAAGCCAGGCGAATTAGTTGTTATTCGACGTACTAAATCCCGAGACGGAGGCGAAGAAAGAAAAAACACAGTGTCTTCCGCTGTTGGTCCTGCATTTTTTGCCTCCTCTGCCAGGTTTTAGTTCGTCGTGAGGGAGAGCTGTTCGGAACTATTCCACGCTTTGTAAATTAACAGTTAAAAGTACATTAACAGATTTAGATTCTTGACATTTATTTAAAAAAATTAATTCAAATATATATTCAAAGCATAAAAATAAAAACGTTCTATTTAGACAAAATTTAGATAGCATTTCATGCCCAGGAAGGACGAAACAGATGAATATAAACAGTTACCATGCATCTCTCTCTGGGCTCCGGGCACATATCTCTAGTTTCATCATCAATAGGCTCTGTTATGAACGACGCTTACGATATACATATGTGTCCCCCCGTGAACTGTGGACGTATCACTTCTTTACGTGCCCGTATATCATAGTCACCTTACATCTCAGTCTCTCGCTGGCAGAGTGTTAGGCCTAAACGACCGTTGCTGCGCGGAGGAGCACAGCCCCGACTGGCAGACTTCCTTTTCTGGCTTCTCCTACTCAAAGGTGACGTACCAAAATCGTGGTTATCATCCCGTGTTCCCCCGTTGTGTCCGGCCTCTGTTTGACAATGTGAAGGCGTTCCAAGACCAGCCCACAGCCAGCCGCAGCAAAGACCAAAAAATAAAATACATAACCACCCACCACATCCCCTCAGTTTCACCCACCAGCTACACTTGAACCAGAATGTCCATTTTTCTTTCATCTAAACATTACTATTTCATCATCGATATACACGGCGCCGTAGGCCTTCGTGGTACGGGCGATTGCCTTTCTTTGGCGGAGCGATTCTCAGGAGCTAGAATAAATATCAATAGCTAAAATAAATATCAATATCAATATGAGTAAATATTCATCAAGTAAAAAAATTTGAAGTCGTGTTCATGCTAACAATATTGAAAACTGTACATTTCCTTATACAAGCGCAACATACTTATTGGTAATATTTGAGATATTTTTCTCTTCTGCAGGAAACAGTCGTCCAAAACTGCAATTACTGGTGCCTCCCAAACAAAGACAACCACTACCACTACGTAAATAAGTACTATCCCGAGGGCACGAAATGCGAGGTAAGTTTCAGTGAGTTTAATTAGACTGCTCAAAATGCGGAAAACGTATATTTTATGAATGAGCACGTTAACTGTAAAGAAAGCCGAACAGCATTCGATACATACAAAATGGTGAGCGTCAATTATAAAATAATTAAAAAAAATATCACATATATTTTCTATTATTCTGGGCTTAATATATTCGAGCTCAAAACTTAATATTATCCAATATATTGTCGCCGCTAAAAACAAAATAATCCCTGCAGCTTTAAATTCTTTTCGCACCTCGAAGTACTAAGTCCATCGTAGAGGTTGCTTCACATAGGCAGTGCAGCGCCGAGTGCGCACAGTGATCAAGGCTGAAGTTACTTCTGATTCAGCGCTATACTTTGTCCTATTACTGTTGAGATTTCCGCATCACAACTTGTGATGCCCGGATGTAGCCCGCCGAAGTGATATCAATTTCTTCAGATCTCAGGCTAACTATAAAAGTGCTCCTGAATGCGAGTTCGATTTCTTCTGTGGTAGCGGTGAGACATCTTCGTTCAGAGAAATAAACAATCTACGGTATGTAATCATACGAGCTCAGTCCTTCTACGGTATTTGTTTTGTGCACACCATGAAACAATGCCGGTCTCGGCCGGAAATAAATTCCTAGTATTATACGCACTGGGACGCGCCTACGGTCAACACCTCAGCAGCGAAACATGAGACTGATCCACTGAATCAACTCACATCTGCAAAATCAGTACTGGACTACAGGCGTTTTTTTCAACGTTGATTTACCGCTAGAGTAACACTGCGTTGTATATTTCAAGATACATTTAATCTTCGCAACACGTGTATTCTTAGCGGTGCTTTAGATTTTAATCATGCTGCGTGAACATTCATCAGAGGTATTTTGATGCAGTCATTGCTTTTCTTAGTCAAGTCATTCTGTGCGATCTAATATTGTGAAGTATATGTAGTACCAGACAGGCGAACGTTAAATAGATTTTAGTTTCATGGCGAGCTACATATTAACCCCAATTTGTTAACTAAATCTCACTAACGCTTATAAGAGCCATGCTTTAATGGCTGTATCAATGGTAATTAGTGTTGCAGGCAAAATAAATATAAATATTTTGGGTCAGGGCGACGAGTTTGAAGATATAATACTGTAAGTTGTCGGGATTTTGTCACCATATTTCGAATCTGGAGGCAAGAAGAGCGCTCGGAATTCTGTCCATAATTATGCTCAGCAGAGTGTCGTAGGCGGTTCAGTCATGTCATCACTATACCAGCATCGCATTCAACGTGAATGCACGTTAAGTCCCTGGATAAGAGCTTCCTACAAGTAGCGACATTCGTTGAAGCGCCGACTGCGTGACAGTGCAGGGTTTGTTTTGAGAAATGTTTTGAAATTCGTTGCCTTGTAATGTAATCCATAAATTGTTTGAGCCTCAAATAGCCGTTGCGGTCAATATTGTCAACCTAACGTAATCCATCTTATCTTGAATTAAAGGAGTAATTAACAAATTATATTTAACTATATCAGCCTCTTCCTGAAATTCCTTCCATCTAAAGTTTTTTAACCAACTTTCTTGCACAGACGAGACTGGTGTAGCTTGCATGGGTTTTTCTTTTTTTCGAGCAATGATTACAAAAGTTAGAAAAAACACCATGTATATAGAACCCTAAAAAAATTAGAGCGCTTCTATAAAATTCATTTTTGTTACATTTCTTTTTGTGTCACCTGAAGTTTCATCAATGTCACTTCAAGTTTTACCAGAAATTTACAGTTAAAGAAAGTTAAAGATGAACATGGAAGTTCGGATATCCGCTATATTCACTGACAGATCAAGGAACGCATATTTCTAATTGGTCATGGAGGAGTTCCCGGTGATTTCGTGCGAGGGTTAAATTCAGTATTCGCATAAGTAGCGCTTCTTACACTGATTTTCTTTCGCTTGGCGGTTAGCTTTATTATACTGACTACCAGCTTAAAAAAACGTTGCATGTCTGCTGGTATCATATTAGTGCTCCGCAGTCAAGGAGAGTTTGATAATCGCAGATTAGAACGCCGAAGACAGACTCAAGTTGAAATAAAAGCAATCATAATACGCGGCCTAGTATGCTCAACTTTATTTCATTTTGAGTCCGTCTTCTGCGTTCGAATCTGTGATTATCAAAACCTCGATGATTGCAAAGCAACAATGTTTAAACTTCAGAAGCTTAATTGATCCGAACGTTATTTGGAGGATAGGTGATTACTTGAATTCAGCGAAATAGTCCATGGGAATTAATGGAATCCAGTCCCCATATGTAAATGTTACTTCTGGTGTCCCTCAGGGATCGGTGTTAAGAGCCGCTCTCTTGTGTTTAATATGTATTCACGATATAGTTGTAAACGTTTCCTCTAACATAAGATTGTATGCCGATGGCTGTGTTTTATACAGAGACGTCGCTTGCAACACTTACATGTTTTCCCTCCAAAGCGACTTGGATAAGATTAAAGCTTGGTGTTTTAAATGGAGCATGTGAAATATCTACGAGTTATTTTTTCATCAAATCGAACTGGGAACAAACGTGCTGGTTATATCACTGCAAATGTTAGTCGGTCACTAGGTTTCTTTAAACGAAATTTTAGCTTAGCTTCATGATTGCTAAAAGAAACCTTGTATTTTTCACATGTACAATCTATTCTTGATTATGCGTGTACAATCTGGGACCCCTATATAGCCTGAATTTAGATGATCACATTGAAAAAAATCCAGAATCGCGCTGCCAGGTTCGTTACGGTAAATTATGATTTGAGAGTAAGTGTTACTGACCTTAAGTCGTCCCTGGGTTGGAGGCCTCCGAGACACAGACGTCAATGCCTACGAGTCAAAGGCGGTAATACCCTTGAAACCTTTATTTAACATTTTTCACGTAAATACTTATATCTCCAAATAAGCATATCTCCTACAGCCTGCTTCCGTGTCTCTCAGAAACAACACAAAAAAATTCGTCCATATAAATCTGAAACTGATCTTTTTAAGTGTTCCTTTTTTTTTCGCGGTCAATTGATGTCTGGAAAAAATTACCTAATAAGGTTGCAGAAATTTCAATGCCAGAGCTGTTTTCTTTTTTTTTTTTTACGAAGGCCAGTTGTATGCTTAACTCTCATATTCATGTGCCTCTAAGGTTTAAATTTGTTGTGTTTTTTTTTTCGTGTATAACGACGTTTCATATTTGTTATAATTTTTTCATCATATATAGTTTTTGTGTGTACTGTAATGTCTTTTTTTTTTTGGCGTGGTGGGTATTCAAATAAATAAACAAATAAATATTGGGGATATTAATATATCAGAAGTAGCGCTATTTTTTAACTGCTGTGTCCTCTAAATCAAATTTAAGTGAATAACGTGTTAAGGGTTAAATGGTCATTTGTTTATTATTATAGAAGAATGGTATGCATTTATGTATGTACTATGAATATATACTAGACGGGTATGTATGTACTTGAGCTAGTCGGTTACCCAATGGCACTCTTTTTAGTTCGTCGTCAACTGAAGCTTAATAATAAACACATAATTATGTTCTAAAATTAAAGTTCAGTAGCCAATATCACTCCATTGCGTTGCCCATCCTTTAACGTTCCCGTCGTCTCTTTAACGCTTTTTTCCCATCCAGTGTGTACCTCATTTGACGCCTCCAAAGGCCTGCAGTTTTGTTAAAAAAAAAGAAAAAGAACCGGATGTTTATTTTCATTTTATATTTAATAAATGGTTACACTCATCGGCCATTCCGGTACAATGTAAAATATAGATCCAATTGGTAAACCACTAACCGATGAGTGTTCTGTTTCGGAAGCTATGTGTCCTGCTCGGTGTCTATCGCCGCGCTCCGGCAGCGCGACCAGGCTCGTCGCTCGCGATAGTCCCAAGCGTCGTCGATGGTGGGAAGCAAGCGCTGGAAGCGGCACAACTCTTGCTGTTCCCTGCAGTTCTCGTCCTGGCAGTGGCTGTAGAGTAATTCGCACGTCAGGGTTTCGGAGAAACAATTGGGTAGCGCCCAAGGGAGCTCGGAACGACTCTTAGAAAAGCAACTCATTGATGACTGAGCTCAGTTCTTCATAACAATGAACTTGCTATTTTTGCTCCGTGACTCATTTTATAGTTTACAGCTCGGTGCAGCACTGTTTCATAATGCTTCTTAGGTAGCAATCTAAGAAGCAGCCTAAGAAGCAACCAAAGAAGTGTCTTAGGTAGCAACTTTGGTGCCTCCAGGAAGAAGGTCTTTTCTAAAATAAAGAAGAAATAATTTTCCCCCCAGTTAAAGGAAAACGAATGCGGTTTCGAGCCTTTTTATGATCGTGCTTTTGAAGATGCACTAAAATGAAAGGCTAGAATTTTAAAAGACCTAATGCACGTAACTAAAAAGAAGTCAACGAAAAAACGTTTTCTTTCAATATTTACTCCGCCAGACGGAATGTAGGTGGGAAATCTGAATGTCACGGCCCGCTATGCCCCGCCCAGTACTTACTCCGTGTTTACACCTCTCAATGGCTGCAGAAATGATCGATGTGTAAAATTTTAGCCGTAAAATTGCTTATCAGTGCCGTAGTAGTGTTTTGTTTGACATATATTTATGTTTGAGAACCAAACAATCTAAAAGGTTCATGATTGTTGTTTCCAAAAATATTACGAGATTGTATCTTCCGCTTTGGTTTCAAACGGTCACACACATATAAACAGATTAGTAGTGACCGCGCGGAGTTCTACGAGCTCTACCAAGTTAAAAGCACACCTTATGATCTCAGAGATCAAAATTATATGACACCAAAATCTCGAACTAATTGCGGTTTACAAAGCTTAGCACATCAAGTTCCTCAATTTTTAAATAAGTATTTAGAAATTGAAGAAATAGTTAACGATGCTGTTTCGTCTTTTAGCTTTAAAGAGAGTGTAAAAGCTTACTTCCTGCTGAATGCTTTTTCTACTATTGTTGATTGTACGGTTGTGACGTAGGCAGTGTGAGGTGTGCTCATGATAATGTATTAATACTTTTAATTTGGATGGTACGCGAGTGTTATGTGCATTTATATTACTACTGGCGATACCATTTTAGGTTTTGTATAATGATTGTCTGAATGCCGTTGAAAATTATTTTTTTTCTATAATATTTTTTTTACCTCTGCTGCTAAACGATGTACACGGCTGGCGGAGCCTCGTCAGGCGGCGTTATATCGTCTTTTGCCCACCAGCCCAAACTACTGAGTCTGAATAAAGTTTATTATTACCATAGAAAGCGTTGTACAAAAAAGCGCCTTTAATAGTGGAACACGATAGCGTTATCGGGCACCGTTCGCGAAGTCTTTTCATAAAAAAACCACTTGTTGGTAGCGTCACGTGTACCGTGACATCAGACGTGAGCGTTTTGGGTCGTTTGAAATTCCAGTGCGATGTCCTGTGAGGCGATGTCACACGCGTAACATCACGTGTGACGTCACACGTGTGATGTAATGCGTGACGTCGCACGTAGCGTATGAAACATCACACGTAGCTGTGTCGTCATGACCCTATCAACCCGCTAAATTTAGCGGAAATATTTCCCGCCAAATTTAGCGGAAATGTTTTTCGCCAAATTTAGCGGGACATTTTCCCCACATATATAGTGGAAAATATTGCCGCCAAATTTAGCGCAAAGATGTAACCCTTGTGATATCACGTGTGACGTCACCAGGTGCATACCGGGATGTTCCTGCCCCACCAATGCCTCCGCCGACGCCGGATTTTCTTCGACAAGAGTACCTTATTGCAGTCGCGTTAATGTGTTTTTTAATCTTTCATTTGTGCAGTACGGATGGGGCCTGCAAAGCTTGTGTATAAACGAGGCTTGCCATCATCCAGAGAGTGATACCTATAAGGAGTACGTGTCGAAGAATTCACGAAAGGATAAGGTGCCACCAGGAAAAAAGTCTGGAAAAACACCAAAGACTCCAACAGGCGAAGAGGAACCACCTGTGACGCCAGACAAGGCGGATGAGGAAGCTGAACAGAATGATAAACAAGACGAGAAAGAGGAAGATGATGAGAATGAGGATAATGACGAGGAAAAGGATAATGACGAGGACGACCAATATCAGTACGAACCAGACGAAGAGAAGGAAGGGGAAGATGAGGACAAAGCGGGCGAAAAAGAGGAAGAGGAGAAAGAGGAGGAAGAGCAAGACAAGGAAAAGGAGGAGAGAGGGGAGAAAGAGGAGAATGAGAACAAAGAGGACGAAAAGGACGAAGAGGAAAAAGACAAGGAGAACGAAGGCCAAGATGAAAGATAGACAGGGAACAGCTAAGAAACTAGAAGCCAGAGAAACGCACCGGCAATGGAAGAGGTGGAACGCGCTTTTATCGGAGGTCTTATGTTTCAATAAACAACCCATGGTATACCTTCCATTCGTGGTTTCCGTTTGTTAAAAAAAAAAATATATACATATAATGTTACATCCCCCTTTATTCAAGATAGTGACTTTCGGGTCGGTTTCCTTTTAACGAAGGTCGCATACATTGTGAATGCCATACTTTTGCTTCGATACCTTTATACTGTCTATGCTGCAGAGTTCGACGCATTTCACCCAGAGAAATGTGCGACAAGCTCAGTTTTACATATACATCTAGAAGGAAGCAGCCAGTTTGGAGGAGGAGGGGACAGAATGATACAGATGGTTTATGTACAAATATTGAACCATCGGGAAAATGACCTCCTCGTGGGAACAAGCTTGTCATTATAGTGCATTGTATGACACACAAACACCAGTTTATCTTTTGGTGTGTACTATAAAGTGATGTCGCCTGACGTACTCCCAGTTTAAATTATGCCTGGACGCAGTGCTGATGTTATCCAGTCCTATATCAGCCAGAGTAGTCAGGAACAGAAAGGAGCGTGCGCTGGTAATTGACTTTTAAACATACCGTAGTTTGTTCGGACTTAAGACGAGTCGTCGAGAGAGAAGTCTACCCGTATGTCCGAGGCCAAAATGACTCCCATAATTAACGTCGGGCTGCTTTGAATAAAAAATTACACCATCTTCCTGAGGGGAACCATGGGGTGATGCGGAGCATCGTTCCATCACACTTCATCGGAAGAACGGAGTGAAGTGGAGTCAACAGCGGTGAACTGAACGCGCGCAGAAATTGGTTTGCTCTTGATGTTTATACAGCCTTTATGGAGATGCGCCTCAACGGGTAATCGGTCTCTTAGCTGTAGATGAGAAATTTAGCCAGTGCAGTACAACCGCTAACCTGGGATTTGTTAACGTGCATCACGCAGTAGCGATCACACGAACGCGTGCCGGTACGAAACTCATCCAGATCGAAACGGGCGGGGGCGGCGGGGACTCGAACCCAGAAGGTTCCCAGCGCAAGCTTTCGCTCCATGCTCCGAGCTAAGACGCGTTAGCCCACTCGGCCACTTCCTCCCCTTGAACGCGCGCAGCGCGCTACCGCTGCTTATATTCACACTTGAAGGAGAGGAGACTAGAGGAGGAGAGTTGCGCCTGCTCGCGCGGTGTGAGTAGAAGCGAACGCACGCGAAGTGCACGCAGCTGGTAGCTGCGCGTACTTCGCGCAGCTGTTGGAGAGAGAGAGAACGCACGCGCAGCTGTTGGAGAGAAGGACGCAGCTGGTAGCTGCGTGCACTTCGCGCAGCTGTTGGAGAGAGAGAGAACACACGCGCAGCGAGGAGAGTTGCGCATGCGTAGTGTGAGTGCGGACTACGACGCCGCGGGACATAGACCCGAGCAAGAGATGCTCCGCATCTAAAAGCTTATGAGTATATTGCAGCCCCAATAAATTCCTAGTCGTAATGACAGAGTTCACCCGTCGACTTAACCACTCGACACGCCCGAGCGTTTCATCAACACCGAAAACGACGCTAATAAGAACTTAACCTCTGCATGAAGACTAAAGGGAAAGTGGCGGACGCTGCTCTTCATCTCGGTGGAACTTTACCTGCCGGAAGTCAAAAAGTATTTTTTGTGAAAAAGCCCTATGTCAAATATTACTCAACCAAAAAACACAATTTATTTGAAAAAAGCATTGGCGTGTCTGAAAAATGCTTGCACTCACACGTATCGCTAAGAACGTTAAGAGAAATATTCAGCTATATTTTCGTTTAAATAAAACTAACAATAGAACACAATAACATGCCACATAAAAACGTACGAAGACGAGACTATATGGTAAACTCAAACACGTTTTATCTGGAGACATGTTACAAATTTGGAAATGTCCTAACATTTCCCGCACCTCAAATAACCAATCTGTCTCTCGATGGTAGCACGTCATATCAGGGGCATGGTACTCTATACTTTTGCCATAATTATTAGGCAACAGCTTTAAAACAATATATTATATCATATAATTTATCATATGACCCGTTTATTCTAGAGGTAACAGGCAATACATTGATAAAGCAAAGAATATTATTGGCTAGCTTGATCGGCGGCGCAAGCTGTATAAATGTCAGGTTGCCAGATCCGAAAAGGCGGGTGCTCCAACAGAGCGCAACGTGCTGAAAATTTTAAAAACATTTTTTTAATATGTGGATATCCTCAAATACATAAAATAAAGACCCGTTCAGACACTTGCGTTTGCCTCCGACCGAGAGAGACAAGACCGTTTTTTAAGCCTTTTTGTGACGGCTTACGGTCTTCCGCATTGCTGCCCATCCGGTTGTTAGCCATCCTAAGGTGCTTAAAAACCGTTCTAGTGTCAGTCGGTCACAGTCAAATGCAAGTATCTAAACGGACCTCAATTAGCGAGGAACCCTTTACTCAACCTCCTGGTCGCGTGATTTGCAGTTTATTTTTTTTCTGTTGATGGCTGAAACAAACTTCTTACCCGTATTAGTGTGTTTGATAGCAGAGCTCTTCTTCATATTGCTGCTGTCTTTGTGAGGCTCCAATTCAGCATACTTTGCGTAGATGTATGCACATTTACATACATACACACAGATACAATATATGCGAAAATGACAAGATTGTCATTGTTTCTTTTTTAAATAAACCCATTTCTATTTACACTCAATGCAGCCGAACAAATGCTTCGCAGTCACTTTTTACCGTCGTCTAACTGCGGTCGCATGTTATGGCTTTAAAGTTATTGAACGGGAGAAAGTCAGTTTGTTTCAACAAAGACTGCTGCGATGCTCTGCCCAGTCACCAGGAGTGCAAAGAAAAGATACAACGAGATTTTCGAGGGATGCCGGCGTGTGAAAGAACGCGCCAGCTCTAGGAACGCAGCTGCATCGACGGGCGCCGCCAGCGCACGTAACCCACCATGGTGAAACAAGATAGAGGTGTCTGACCGGCGCCGCGTTGCCACGGAGTTGGTGTATCAACGACTGGCTCCCATTTATGGCAAACACCGTGAGATGGCACAATATAAAAGAAGCCCGAGGAATGGGCCTTATTCGTGTAGAGATTTTCGAGGCCGCGCGCCGTTCCACCACGCTTGCGCGTGGAGTCTCATCCCTACAATACCCTTGCCGGAAGATGCGCGAAGCCCAAATAGAATCTAGACCCCCTCTCTGGCCGTGTTCAGACACCTCTTTCTTCTTCCACCGTGCACCCTACGCAGCCACGAGATCATAGAGCGGCGTCGCGAACGGGTCCCCAGCTACGCGGCGCGCCGAGACAAAGCGCTCACACACCACGAGGGTTTGTCGGGTCATATCGAAGCTGGACACGACTTCTCTTACCCCTGGTCTATCTGCACATGTGTAATATTCGCTAGACCATCACCGACCTAAGCAGCCTGTAACGGAAGCCACATTCTCCGTTGTTCGTGGTTTCATATAATTTGAAGACGGCTACAAAGATGGGATTATGACGAACTTCTCAACCTGGTTCCGCTGCGGTCAGTTATCTTTCTCAAAGCAAGAAAAGCGGCTTGGGGTTGAAGTTGTTGGTGTTCATTTGTCTTCAGGGCTCTAATTCACAATCGGCACATCATTTTTAAACAGAGGTTCAGTACACATTGTAAAAAGTGAAAACGCTTGGATTTTTTAGAGAACAGAGGCGAATTAAGACTTATTAAATGTGTAAAACGCTACTTTGGGGTTAATGGAAATTGTACTTATTTTCACAAAAGCTGCATGGGCTGCACCGACGTTATTATTTATGTGCAGTCCATGAGCACTTTCTCTTTTGACAAAACAAACGCTTACCAGACTGCAATGTGCGTGGAGTATAAAGTTTGTTAAAAGTAAATTTAAAAAAAATTTGGGATGACTTCATAAAGTCCAATAAACATTTACATGGTTGTCACTCTTTTCTGTATTAATATTCTGCATTCTTCAAAAGAAAAAAAAGAACGAAAAATGAAGGGTGAGCCTGAACGATTTCCAGCAATCTTTAGACAGCTTTATCATAGCGTTGTTGTTTCTCGCGTATACGATAACCAAAAGTGCACGGTACGCTGCAAATCACCTGCTCGAACGATTTGAATTGACCATACCTGAATGATGTTTGCAGTCGAACCTCTGGCATACTCCTTCTGCTTTAAGTTCAGGTCATTCCTGGTCTACGAAGCTTCCGAAAGGGAATAATGAGAATTGAAATGTCTGCGATCCCCTTAGTTCAAAGTGCTGTAGGGTACCCCTCCCCCTCCAATTAATTACCGCTCCACGCGTTACTCCATAAAGTCAAATTATAATTACTTGTGAAATTAACGCGACCAGGACATCGCCCGTGCTGCCATTTGAAGTAGCAGCCATTTTGAAATGATTTCGCTTGACCCTTAATCTTACCAGAACTTCAGATTGAAGTCCACCATGACTGCACTCCCGCAACACAAGCAACAACACAAAAAAAAAAAAATTCAACAGTGTCGATTGTGCACGGAATACCTTAGTATTTCTGTTTTATTCTAAGCATCCACAATGCCGACCCACAATTTGGATACGAACTGTTTATTAAAATTGTCTTTTTGTTACTTTGGTATTACAGTATTCAAAATATTTGTTTTGAACGAAGAAATTACTGATTGTGATTGGGGAGCTTTCGAAGAATGTTTTCGGGAACCCGCAACAATCAATGCAACCCGCTACAACATACGCAACTCTGCAGGCAAGTTAAGTGGTGCACATGCGCAGAAGCGGCTCTTTCGCTCCGGAAAGTGTTGAGGAAGACGGAATTGATCTAAGAAAATTTCCTAATGCCTGCAGGCAGATATGAACCTAACCATTAGAAAAAAAAGTACTTGAAATAATAATTGAGGGCATTAGAATAGGTGGCCGCAACATTTGGGTGCGCCTAAGAAATTGGGGTACCCAAACGCAGCAAGGTTGGAACCGCCGGCTTATAGAATGGGGATTCCCCAGCGCAGCAGGGCGCGCTTGCGTTTTCCTCTTGCAGCGCCAATGCGGCAAATAAGTGGAAAATTCAAAAGAGAGAAAATATTGAAAAACGTCGAACATGTGCGCTCAAGGGGGCACTCTAGCTGCTTTTGCAGCTACCCATACAA